AGACTTACAAGCAAAAACCGACAAACTGGTCGAAGAAGCAGCAAAGACAGGACTCTATGTGAACATAGACAAGACGGAGGTTATGAAAATAACCAACCAACAACAACAACAGCAGCAGCAACATTCAGCGCCAATCACCATCAACGGGAGGGATTTGAAAGAGGTTACTTCTTTCACTTATCTAGGCAGCATTGTCTCAACCACAGGAGGAACGGACGAGGATGTCAAATCGAGAATCGGGAAGGCGAGAAACACATCCATCATCAACCTGAAACCAATCTGGAAATCTTCGTCACTCACCATCAACAACAAAATTCGGATTTTCAATACAAACGTCAAGTCAATTTTGCTTTACGGATCAGAAACTTGGCGGGTCACCAAGAATATTTCCAACAGCCTGTTGCAGACCTTTATCAACAACTGTCTTCGCTCTATACTGAAGATTAGATGGCCAGAAAGAATCACAAACAAGAAGCTATGGGAACAAACGAAACAGGAACCAATCGCCCAACAAATATGCAGGAGGAAGTGGAGATGGATTGGACACTCGCTGAGGAGGCCGTTGAGTGACATCGCGCGTCAGACTATCGCTCGAGTGGAACCCGAAAGGGAAGCGGCGAGTGGGACGTCCAAGGGTGACATGGAGGAGATCGTGTGAGGAGGAGATGAAACAGTATGGAATAACATGGACGCAAGTGAAAAGAACAGCACAAGACAGAAGCAAGTGGAGACGTGCAGTTGAAGCCCTATGTTCCACTAGGAACCCAAGGGAACAATAATAATAATAATAATAAATCAGTGCTTAGTAATTACGCAAGCACCGAAAGAATACAAAACGATCAGATGAATTATCTTCACTAAAGGTAAAATATAATTTACCCTTGGTTATGATTTTATTAAGGCACTTTTTTAAACATTATTGTTAATTATTATTTGACTGGAGGATACTACTAACTGGTGATGTACGTTTAGTCCTCTGTATTTGGTATAGACTGAATTCTATCGATCAAGTTTGTACTGTGACCACCGACCATGCTAGATGGCTCGCCATCATGGTACACTGTGGCATTCCTTAGTAAAACAAGGCGTATCTGCAAGCTTGAAGGAACTCATGTCCCTTATGAGATTCGAACCTGTGTTGCAGTTGTCAGAGACGTAACCACCATTGAGCTATTCGGGCTCGCGATTAACCTCGTTCCTGTAGGACCGAATTGAGTACTTAATTAATTAGTGTTATGTGCCTAATCCTTTGTTTGCTGCAGACTGAATTGTAGGCTTGGTAGGTTTTTGGTAAATGTTAATACCTCTTGCGACTAAAATTCACAGCCCCAAATCAGTAGTAGAGGAGATCACTCTTTTGAGGAAGACACTACTTGAGAATGGCCATCCACCACGCTTTATACATACACATATAAAACTGAAAAGCAACAAAGAACAACCCATCTCTGTGCCGAAGAAGATGCTATACATGAATGTGGAGTTTAAAGAGAAGAATATCTAACACCCTGAAAAGAACATTCTCTGCTGCTACATTACGATTGGTATTCTCAAGCCGCCCATTGTTCTTTAACAACTCCAAAGATAAACTATCGCATTTGATCACTTCTATGTGTATCTACCAATTTACTTGCTCATGTGGAGCGAGATAAGTTCGATGAATATTTTATCCAAAAGAGTCAAAGAATATTATCCAGCTTGGCTACGAAAAGATAACAGTGGATCAATAAAGAGTGCTATAAATTGAGCATATAGTCAACACTGGTCACTCAATATGCACGGAGAATTCATTCAAAGTCACGTACAAAGTCAAAAGAAGCCTCCCGAAAACAGTAGGTAGGCTTCCGTATACTTTGCATTGCCAAGGCCTTAACAATCCGGATAGAAAACCTTGATTCATGCACACAGAAGAAACTTCTGCACCCCCACCTTCTACCTTGGGTGGTATAATTCCAAGTTCTACGACTTTATTAATAATGTTTTATCTTTTGAATTTTTTTTCTTAACCAAACCTTTATTTACTTTCTCTACCTACTCCATAATTTATGTTTGGACACGTGTCTCCATTAACATCCTATTTCATATTACGCAACTCTTGTCAATACTTACCAATCTTCACCCCCCTGGTTACAATTTTGATTATTCATCACTTTTTAGAAACATTTTGATGACGTAAACAGTAACCCAACTAACTTTTATCTTTGCTTGACAATCCTAATGTACACACACAAAATAATTATGGATGTCCCACCGATGACATTGGTTGGTGGTCGCGCTAAATCACGAATTGGTTGAGTTAGAATTCATGAGTCGTTGAATCGGGTCCCGGTGGCTGAATGGTATACGAGCTTTCCTTGTAACCGAAAAGTCCTGGGCTCGAATTCTGGCAATGGGTGCGTACTGCCGATAACTCCCAAATTAGGCTGATGGAACAGCTGTCCAGTATTACCTGTGGCTGATTTCCAATAGTTCTCTAACTGATATCAATCCGTGATCAACTCCTTGAAACAAAACTAATCCTTACAAACCAACTACAGAAAGTTATGTATAAATATGATTGTACAGTTAAGTCAATGAATTCGCCGGTGAGAAAAGACTTTTCGCTGAACTTTGTTGTTCTTATATTCATGTCTGGATGGATACTTTCGGTGCATTAAAAATTAGCAAGGACCCTTTGACAGTGAAGGGGGGGGGTTTCTGCGCTATTCTGTCAAGCTTGCTGAAGTCATTGAAAAGGCCGATTTCCTCAGAGATTGTATAAATGTAAACGTGTTTTATTTTATCCCACTAGATTAATGTAATATATGCCAACTAAGCAATTAAAAACAGTATTTATAATGACTTTAAGAATTAACTGTCACATTGTAAACATCACATATTATTAGCCTGCATAAAATCATGTCTGGCGTACACTTGTTCAGCTTGACCTTACACGACCCTTATTTTCGATATCATGTCTGAGTGATGGTTGACTAAGTCAATAATTAGCTGATTAACATCTGTACGTAGTAGTAGTAGTAGTATGCTTAATACTACGGAATTCAAATCATGCTATGTGAAAACTTCCACTGGCAGCTCTTTACAATTGCAGCCTTGTAGAATTTTTTTTCATACTTTTGTGATAGGATGCTGTCTGTCTCACCTTTTTAGTAGCTTTCTCTTATTGGATGGAGGATTTCATCATGAGCTGGCATCAGTTAGAGAACCATTGGAAAACCAGCTGGGAGTACTGGACAGCTGTTTCACCCTAGTTTGGGACTCTGCTTTAGAAGTACGCACCCATCAACAGGGTTCGAACCCAGGACCTTCCAGTTACAAGGAAAGCTCGTACACCATTCAGCCACTGGGACCCGATCCAATGACCAGGCCATGAATTCTAACTTCTGCCAATTCACGACATAGCGCGACCATTTAGTAATGTCTTCTTCGATGAGTTGCTGCCTTACCTTCAACCTGCTGTACCCTACTGGTCACGGCTTCCCACTAGAACCTCAGATCACTGCCTAAATAGGGCCAGTCGCTTGAAAATTATCTCTTGTTATAATTATTATTATTCTGCCTTGCGTTCCTAGTGGAACAATACGACTTCCAACAGCCCATCTTCATTTTGTTCTATTATCTGCAGTCTTCTTCAACTGCTTCCACGACTGGTCACAAGCTCTCATTTCTTTCTCATATAATCTTCTCCTCCATGTCACCCTCGAACCAATGCCTAACTTGTCGTTTCCGACTCGAGTGATGGCCTAGTGCACAATGTTACACGACAGTCTCCTCTGTTATTATTCACTCATTATTTTCTTGTTCTAGACGAACTCTGTGTTGAGTAGACGGAAAATACTTGAGGAAAGTTTTTGAATTTCCTTTTCACGAATATTCAGAAGACAGTTAATTCCGTCGGATTTATTACTTCTGCATCCTTTATAGGGCTAACTAAAGATGGAGTTTGCCACGTAGACTGCTAATTAAAGCAGGCAAGTAGTCAGTCAGTGATGACTCTCTGTGAAACCTTCATCAACGGGTATGGTCAGCCATTCATGCTAGATGTGATAAAGTTCGACCTACAGTAACACATCAGAAAGCTTGGAACTAGGTGTAAAACGAAATAAGACTGGTCAGAATGACGTAGACACATCTAAGTAAATCGTGAAAACTTTCATCATCTTTTCAATGTGATTAACTTTAATGTGATTGCTTTTCTTGTTGAGAGTCGCCACAGTTAGTGTAATTAAGGCTCAGAACAATTTTAGGAGTAATCATAACCATATGCTTATGGGTTCCAAACATCATCATTACATAATACTGTGTGACTGTATTTTATCCAGTACAATTTTTCTATTATGGAATTATAATTGATTCTACTTTTATACACCTTACCTCACAGCCTATGGATGTGAGCATGAGTCTACCTGACACTAACATCAACACACAAGTTAGTATAACGTTATGTCAAGTTTGACCAGGGATTCATATCAGTCAGAGAACCACTGAAGGCCACCAGGGAGTATTGAACAGCCAGATATTTCATCCTAGTTTCGGACTCATCGACAGTATCCGCCCACCGTCAAGGATGGAACCTGAGACCTTCCGATTACAAGTCAAGCTCATAGACCATTCAGCCACTGGGACCCGAAACCCCAATGGCCAGTACATGAATTCTAACTCCTATCACTTCGTTATTTTACCGCAACTTGCACCAGCCAACGTCATCAGCGGCAAGTACTTGTACTCACTAACGACCAGCTGGATACCGCTGAGTAAGTCTAATAACTAGAAGAACTTCAAACAACTTTGTCCTGCGGCCAGTCGACTAAGCGAACATCAGATTAATTTTCAAGAGTTAGAGTTTGTAGGGATTTGATTGGTTGCAAGGTTGATTCACCGATTGATATCAAACTTGAAACAAATTAAATCTACACAAACCAACTCTTGAATTTATGTCAGTTGGTTTTAAGTGAAGTGAATATGACAATGACTGCCAAAAACAGGAATTTGGAAACACTTACTCGTAGAATTGCATAACGAGCACAACAATGTGCTTGACGCCATGATCCAATGTCACCAGCATTTTCTGCTGGAGAATAAAACTCCATAGAAGTTACACCTGAACGAATCATTGACAACCAATTGATATAGACTACATCTGGGACATCGCCTTGAGCACAGTCAGTATTCAAACCGAATTGTTCCAAAACAAGAGGTAAATCAGATAGATAAATTCCAACGCATTCAGCTCGACACTCTTCCATTGCAGAGGAAAGGCTTGAAAACTTGCTGTCATACGTTTCTCCTGGTTCATACCTTAAAAGGAAAATAAAAATGCACACTACTGGTGAAAACTGTTACAAATTAGTTAAACTAAATACAATCTTAATAGTCTATACATAAAGTTTGTCTACTGAATATGGTAGTTCACGGGTTTTGGTCATACTCAACCTACATTGAACTGGGCAACTGAGTGGTGTTATCAGCCCTCATCACACAGTAAATGTGAATCGCAGACTCGTACATGAGAAGTCTGTGGCATGTAACCCAGTTTTAGGAGTACCAAGAAAGTACATTGCACTAATCAAGGCACTCTACTCAAACTCACGTAGCCGTGTAAGGGCTTATGGGGAATTGTCATCTGAATTGATAACAACCAGTGGTGTCCGTCAGGGATGTCCACTTTCCCCATTTCTGTTTAACTTCATCATAGATATGCTAATGGAAGTATCCTTAACTGAACTTAACGACTTAGGAATCGACTTGTTACCAGGGAATAGTCTTATGGACTTAGAATATGCAGACGACATAGTCCTGTTAGGGGAGGATGCTGACAAAATGCAGAGTCTTCTGAACACCTTGAGCAGCAATCTTCGTATGTTTGGCATGCGATTCGCCCCTGTGAAATGTAAGATGCTGCTACAGGACTGGACTACGTCTACCCCTAGCTTAGTGATAGGGAGTGAAGTGATAGAACATGTTGACCACTTCACCTATTTGGGAAGTTGTATCAGCACCAACGGATTGATTGGCGACGAAATCTCAGCACGGATCCAAAAAGCTCGAGCTGCTTTCGCTAACTTACACCATCTCTGGCGTAGGCGTGACATCCGGCTATCAACCAAGGGACGTGTGTACTGCTCAGCAGTTCGCTCCGTCCTTCTCTATGGCTCTGAAACATGGCCAATACGAGTTGAAGACATGAAAAGGTTGACTGTTTTTGATCATAGATGTCTACGATCTCTTTCTCACGTTAGGTGGTATAATAAGGTAAGTAATGTTGACGTTAGGCGTAGTGTTGGGCAAAGAGGGAAAATCAATCGAAGAGGCTATAAAGTTACATAGATTGAGATGGCTAGGTCACGTGCTGCGCATGCCTAACCATCGCCCCCCCCCCGACGGGCATTACTAGCTGATATAGGTGCAGGTTGGAAAAGAGTAAGTGGTGGCCAAACAAAAACATGGCATCAATCCATGAAATCCTTGACAGTTAAACTGAGTCAGGTAGGGAGATGCAGACTTCCGGGTTGGGGCCCGCCCTCGGGACTCTAAGAATCAATGGTGGCTGGAGACAATAGGTGACATGGCTCAAAATCGTTGTCAATGGCTTACGCAGATGTATTCAGTCTCTGTAATCTTTCATATTCCTTTCTACCATTACTCATTCTGTTTCACTCTTATACTTGTCAAAAGTCTATTGATTCTCTTCACTCATCTTCTTGTCTACCTTTGTGTGCTATTTGGAACGTGGCAACTCGAACTGGTGCACTTCGGTGCCAAGTTCTATGTTGAATCCAGACAGACAGAACCCAGTTTTAGCTAGCTTTCTTCGTGTAAGAAAAGTTTTTTTGAGACCGCATGTACATAAAAGTGCATTAAATCACTTGCAGCTTAAAATCAGTTATGTGTCTTTAAACCATTCAGGGAGGTGTTGGATGCTCAGTAACTTGAGCGTGGCTATAGGTCAAAGTGTTCTCTCTAACGTTCCAATAGTCTATCCTGGGATTTAATTATGTTGCCGAATGACAGTTGTGGAATATTATCCAGAAAGCAAGTAAGCATACTTGCCAGGGTCATTCAACACTCATCACTTCATGTTAACTTTCAGCAAGGGAAGAAACAGAGGGAAACTGTAGTATGTTCGCCACTGATTGCGATTCTTGGCCATATCTTGCTGGCTGCTGGCTGGATTCAATATAGAACTTCGCACCGAAGTGTAGCAGTTCGAGTTACCAAGTTCCAAAGAGCACACAAAGGTAGACAAGAAAATGAGTGAAGAGAATCAATAGAGTTTTGACAAATATAAGAGTGAAACAGAATGGGTAGTGGTAGAAAGGAATATGAAAGATTACAGAGACTGAATACATCTGCGTAAGCCATTGACAACGATTTTGAGCCATGTCACCTATTGTCTCCAGCCTCCATTGATTCTTAGAGTCCCGAGGGCGGGCCCCAACCCGGAATTCTGCATCTCCCTACCTGACTCAGTTTAACTGTCAAGGATTTCATGGATTGATGCCATGTTTTTGTTTGGCCACCGCTTACTCTTTTCCAACCTGCACCTATATCAGCTAGTATTGCCCGTCGAGGGAGGCGATGGTTAGGCATGCGCAGCACGTTACCTAGCCATCTCAATCTATGTAACTTTATAGCCTCTCCGATTGATTTTCGCTCTTTGCCCAATACTACGCCTAACGTCAACATTACTTACCTTATTATACCATATCTGATAACAATTAGAGCCACTGATCAGAACTAACTTTCGGACATCAATCAGGGAGTCGTGGTGTATTAGATGATGCTAACCTAACACACACACAGTGCCATATCATAAGCTGAACACCTCCTCTTCGCTTTTTTCATCCAGTCCCAGGGCTAGCGAACAACGACAGATACAGCAGCCTTTGGGGCGACATTCGTAGCACATGTCCAAGATATCCAAGCTGGTGTTTCAAGATGACTACACTCAATGACTGGTGACCTCTAACGTATGAAAACCCACTCTGCTGGACTTCAAAATTACTCACACGATGATGCCATCAGATACGAACGATCCCACGAAGGCAGCAATCGCCGAATACGCAAAGTCACTGCACATCCTCGACTCAGAGAGACCAAGTTTCGTAGGCACAGAGAAAGAGAGTGCGCACATCTAAGCATTGTAAGCCCGACCTTTGACAACTAGGCTGACGTCGCGACGACGCCAGAGGTAGTTCAAACTGGCGTATGCCACCCTGTCTTTCACTACACAGTTAGAAATCTTGCCCGTCACACCACCATTTTTTTTATATTTTATTTAAACGCATTAAAACTTGGTACAATATGGCACCAAGGAGGATGCGCCACACAATAATAATAAAACAACATAGATGGAAAAAAAAGGAAGGCAGGAAAAGAAAATATATATATAAGTAGAGAACGAATAATGAACTTCATCTGGAAGGAAAACACTCATTCTTAACAGGTTCAAACAGTGTTCGTTAACTATCATCGGGAATGGAAGAAAGAAGGAAATCGCAACACATTCGCCATTGATTACGATTCTTGGCCATATCCGATAACGTTTCGAGCCATCGATTTGAGCTATCTCTCAGACCCCAACCAGGGAGTCGTGACACACCAACCGATGCTAATCTAGCACAAATATCCTTCATCCCACGACGCCACGTCATGGGCTGACCACCTCTCCGCCTTTTCCAACCCGTCCCAGGGCTAGCGAACAGAGACCTGTACGGAAGCCTCTGGGGTGACATTCGCAGCACATGTCCAAGCCACCGGAGCCGGTGTTTCCAGATGACGACATTCAATGAATGGTGATCTCCACTGTGTTCAAACACACGCCGCCGAACCTCAGAATTACTCACGCGATGATGCCATCGAACGCAAGCAATCCTGCGGAGACAGCGGTGATCGAACACGCAGAGTCGCCTCACATCCTCAGCTCGGAGAGGCCAGGTTTCACAGGCGTAGAGCAGCGCAGCCCGCACCGAAGCATTGTATACCCGACCTTTGACAGCCAGGCTAAAGTCGCGACGGCGCCAGAGGTGGCTCAAGTTGATGTATGCCACCCTAGCTTTCATTATACGGTTGGAAATCTCATCCGTCACCCCTCCGCCAGCACTCACACAACTACCTAGGTACACAAACTTATCGACAACTTCAAGCGGTTCACCCGCAAGAGTGAGTGCAGGTACAGGCTCCTGCCAATCTTGTAACAGTACTTTGCACTTAGACGGCGCAAAGCACATACCATACTTACAGACACTGATCGCCAACTGATTGAGTGCGATTTGGGCAGCCTGCATGCTATCGCACAGTAAGACGATATCGTCTGCATACTCGAGGTCGAAAAGTCTATCTCCAGGTAGCAGATCTACACCACCTTCACACACATCCTTCAGAGCTGACTCCAGAATCTCGTCGATGGCAAAGTTAAAGAGAAATGGCGAGATTGGGCAACCCTGTCTAACCCCACTGTTGGTTGGGAACAGTGGTGATAGTTGGTTGTATGCCCTCACTCTACCTGAGGTGTTTCTGTATAGGGCTTTCAAGATGTTAACAAATTTCTCAGGTACACCTCTCTCTAACAGACAGTTCCAGAGCACAGTTCTGTCCAACGAATCGAAGGCAGCCCTAATATCAAGAAACACAACGATCGTTGGCCTGCAATACGTGTGGCGGTGTTCCAACAACTGACGAAGGGTGAACACATGGTCAATGCATCCACGACCTGAACGAAACCCAGCCTGCTCTTCGCGAATCAATCCTTCGCGTATTTTGCACAGTCTGCGAAGCATGACAGCAGCCAATATTTTAGACGCAACTGGTAACAGACTGATACCCCTATGGTTGTCACAGGAATTACGTCGACCCTTTTTAAAGATGGGGACGATAATGGCTTCGTTCCACATTGATGGTACGCTCTCTGTCTCCCACACCCTCCTGAACAACCCAGTTAGAGCCATTATGAGAGTCTCGCCACCATCTTTAAAAAGAGCCGGGGGTAATTTGTCTGGGCCGGGCGCCTTATGGCGTTTCAGAACTTGGAGTTCCTTACGGACCTCCGCTTCGGTGGGTGGGTCGGTACTAACCGACCAAGGAGCACTCGGGCTAATGATAGTAGACAATGAAGCTGGTGGCCAGCTGAACTGCTTCCCGAAGTGCTCTGCCCAGCGTTCCAGGCGTCTCTTCAGGCTGGTAATTGGAGTGCCATCTGCCTCACAGACCGTCTCGCTGACACCTTGTTTCTTGCTGCCGGTGGCTCGTATGAGTTGGAACAGCTTCCGACTGTTGCCAGATGCAGCAGCTGACTCCATCTCATACGCACGTTCTGACCACCAGGCTTCGCGGTCCTTACGTAAACACTGTCTAATCTTGCGCGTGAGCGCCTTTCGCTGATTGTTGTATTCACTGCCAGCCGGAATGGACCGGCGTTCATCCATGAGTTGCAAGGAACTCGCAGAAACCCAGTGGTTGTTAGCGGAGTATTCTTTCAAGCCGCAAGCGGCTACACTCGCCTTTTGCATGGCACCTTGTACATGAAGCCAGTGTTCATCTATACTACTTGGGGGGTTGCTGGCAAGCATTGTTTTCAACTCATTCTGATATTTCAAAGAAGTAGCAGGTGCTACTAGTTTGCTCACATCAACGCTTAGACGACGGTTTTTACGAACCCCACCAAATCGCAAGACGAACTTGGCACACACTAACGCATGATCGGAGTCCAGGCATGTGCTCCAGAAGGAGCGACAGTCTTGTATGCATCCTCGCCACCGGAAACTGACCGCAATATGATCAATCTGAGTCCAAGCTTGCTTCGCAGAGGGAGGACGCCAGGTAGCGCTACGGCGATGGCTGTGCCGGAAGTTGGTGCTGGCTAGAAATAGGTTGTGATCCGCGCAAAGCTGCAGAAGACGGTCCCCATTATCTGACCTGCGACCATGTAGTCCCCACTGACCACCTAGACGACTCTCCTCTGAGCTTAGACGCCCGACCTGTGCGTTCAAGTCCCCAGCTAGCACTACGATATCCCTCCGACCCGCCTGTTTCAACAGGTCGCTCAGTTGGTAGTAAAACTCATCCTTCATTGCATCCGGGCTGCAATCCGTCGGTGCATAGGCAGAGACAACAAATAGACACCGCCTATCTGGCCTACTACTCCTTACTTTCGTATAACCTTCCAGCCTCACAGCACATAAACGACTGTTAATGGGAATCCAGTCGAGCAGTGCAGCTTCGGCTCTAGCGCTCAGTGCGACACCGACACCAGCTACGCCGGATGCTGATGCCACAGGGTCCCCGGATAAGCGCAGGTGGTACATACTACTAGAACTTCCAGATGGAGAGGACAGTCGAAGCACTTCACTGGGATCTTGAATGCGGGTCTCCGAAATGCAGCAGACATCGATAGCGAGGCTTTCCAAAGTTCTTGCCAACCCTGCCTGTTGTCCGATTTGCATCAGCGTCCGAACATTGTAGGTAGCCAGCTTGAACGCAGCACGCGGTTTCAGGATATCTGTGTTAGAAGTCACATTGGGGACAGCCATTTTGAGGACTACTCACTAACATCTCGAAACGACACAGATAGGCTAGGAATCCAAACAAAGGCGAAAGGCTGTCGAAGGTTAAGAAGTCAAGGTGAGCAAAGGTAAAATACAGGAAACTAAGTATAAAAATAAAAGTAAGGTTGGAAAGAGATATATCAACTGGGACATCACTACTGCTTGAGAGCATTGTTAAGAGCGCGCGATGAGTTTCACTGATAGTTCGTTGCTTCATTTAATTAATTGTGTGAGGGCTGAGATACTGCCCGGGCGCCCAAACCGAAGCAGGTGGTTTTCTTAAGGGACCACCCCCCGAGCCTTTGACTTGGAGTCTAATCCGCAAGGCAGCGGGGCAGCGTCAGGTGCTGCGTTCCCATGGTTGCCGGTGACCCATATGGGTTCGTACGCCATTTGATCCTATTGGATTCTGGAGCCCATGTACCCCATGGTAACTGCTTTTAGTCTAACCGCTATCCAAACAACCTTCCTGGCATGGTAGGACCTGCAGGGACATGAGTCCCAGCCAGTTTAGCTTGTTGGGTCACTGCGGCATTCAAGCCCGACCACCACGGCAAGGTAGCAGTTATCGGCCGGTATACAAAGTTGTCGGCAAATTCAAACAGTTCACCTGCAAGGACGAATGCGGGTACGGTAAAAAGCACGTACCACGCTCATAGACACTTATAATTCACATAAAATGAGACAAATAAAAGATAGAGAAATACAGAAACAGGGAATAAAGGACTGATATAAAATAATTCAGGTTTTCACTTTTCGCAACATTATATAAACTTGTGGCTGTCTACTCTAATGCACTAAATAAATTTAAGTAGGGTCACAGTGAGAGTGGTAATTACTTGCAACATTTTAAATTTTTATGACCAAGAAAACGTATAAATAAAATGAACTACAAAGTTTAAAGTACAAAGTGTAGCAAGAAGGATAAATACGTAAGATACAAAAAGTGAGTACAACTTAACTATCAGATCATTAATTCTTACGAGGTAACTGATAATCATTTTCTCATTACAATGGTTTGACATTTTAGTAAGGTAAAACGGACAATATTTTAATTTGCTTTCACTCCAACAGATCTTTAAGAGAAATAAACCATTACTCAACGTGCAAAGTAGTCTCTAATTATCATCTGTAATCTATGGTTCCTGTCTGTCTGTATTCGATAGAGAACTTTGCACCGATGTGCGGCAGTTCAAGCCGCCACACTCCATGTAGCACACAAAGCAAGAGAAGAAAGAAGAAATGCATAATATAGACAGTAAACAGAGGTGAGAGGCAAAGGAATAGTAACAACGAAGAACAATATAGTCCCAACCGATAACTGCTACCTTGACGTGGTGGTCGGGCTTGCACATCGCGATGACCCAACAAGCCACACTGGCTGGAACCAATGTTCCTGCAGGTCCTACCATACCAGGAAGGTTGTTAGGATAGCGATTAGACTAAAAGCAGTTACCGGCATTGTGTAAGAATCTTTCCTACACTATGCTGGGGGTCTGAGGGCGAAGTCGTACTGCTGGGGAACAGGGGTGTAACAGCAATAAGGTGTTTCCCTCAGATGACCAGCATACCAGCTATGCTGTCTCTCCACTCCGGAGAGAGGGGGTTAGAAAAGGTCGACCCCAAAAATTGTACATCCCGACTTACCCTACGGTGGTCCGTAACCGGCGGTAAGTTTACTAATACGGAACCAATCCCAGAAACCAGTTCATACAGGCCGTGTGTGACCGGCCTCAAGCAGTTGTCCCCTGGGCTCTGCGGTCACGCAACACTG